TATATANATAGATAGATAGATAATATATATATATATATATATATATATATATATATATATATATATAGATATAGATATAGATATAGCTATATATGTAGAAATAGACATAGATATACATGCAGATGTGTATATATATGTTTAATATACATCAGGATATCTGCATCTACAAGTCGAGTCGCACATTTCGGTCAATCCTCCTATCATATACATGAATAACTGAGCACATTTGCATAAACCAACTGACCACTTTATACCTACTCTTCACTCAGGCATGTTCGGACAGTACACCTCAGAAGTATCGCCCTTTGGAGTGCAGATGAACATCATACAGGATGCGACCATTGTCGTGTATATGGTTCTTCTGGGATATCTCTCATTTGGGAAATGGATTGACTAGCTTCCTACTATCGAAGATTCTCCGACAGGAGGGGTTACGCAGTACTAGTCAGTAGTGTCATGCGGATGTTTGTAGCGGCGTATAAGAGATTCGAATTGCAAACCCCTTCACACACACAGACATGTGCGTACTCATATGTACATAGTTATACAGTAGCACTTCGAGATAGGACAGCGATAGTATCGTTGCCTAATATATATTAGTAAGACATCTTGCCATTGACAGAGTATCACTGGGGATGCTGGTAGAATTTGATCAGATATATCTCCATCGACAGAGTATTCATGGGGATGTTTTTAGCGATTAATTCAGAATTTAGTAATTCAATCCACTCATTAGCTGTGAGAAGAGAGCGATGGAACGGTACTTTTTAAATTTCAAATAAAGGTGCCATTCGCTCGATTTAGTATCAGCAAGCTTTGTTATGTGCGTTAGTGGTGTGTAGTTACAAGCACAATGGCACGTATTAGTTATAGGCCCAATGATACGCATTAGTTCAAGGGCTTTAGGGGTTTTAGGGTTTAATATACGTTATAGGCCCAATGACACGCATCAGTTCAAGGCATACCAGTACTTAGTATTAAAAAAAAACACGGGGCACAACATGGTATAATAGTACAGAAAGTTGGGTTCAATTGCTCGGGTGGGGCTCGGCCTTATCGGTAGTTTACGCGTATCATGGGCATATACTCAAGTGCGGATAGTATTTAAAACCCCATATATTGTTTGGTTTAAGATGTCCTGTATGTCACACGCCGCCCGCCCCTATTGAAGACACGATCGAACTAGTAAATCAGGTGTTTCCTACGCCAGTCGCAGCAGTAAAATCAGACCCAGTATCCGTAGTGAGGTCGTTGAAAGTACGACATAAATGTACATAACAGACCTCGTCTAATTTGATCTATTCCATTTCGGTACTACTTGTGAAGTAGACTCACTCGTCTTATTTGATCTCTTCCATCCCAGTACTACTTGTGAAGTAGTCGTAGAATCGAGTGGCCATGACAGGCCCAATTCGCCTGCCGCTATTGGTTACGCGATCTATTTGAATGCTAGCGAGATTATTGATGAAGTCCTTTTTCACGGGTGTGGCCTCGAGAGCATCGAGGAAATGTCTGTGTGATTGAGGCGAATGTTTGTATATTCAGTGGTATGAAGCCTAGGATGTGTGTGCTTCTTGGTTATAAACCAGTCAACACGGTGATGTTCCGATATGAATTGACACATAACATACTGACACTTACTATACAATCGAGAAGGGCCTTTTATATGGAACGTACTTACGTTCAGGTAGAGATATATCTTGTCAGACAATCGAAAGTAATGCACATCTCACAATACATGAAGTAGATGAAGGATCAACAACAGTCCGATATGAAACATCCAAAGTATGCTGCGCGCCACACGACTATTTAAGAATCGTGAGCTTCGCCCGCGTCCCATAAAGGTTAGTAAAGCAGTCAGGATCATACAGGAACAAAATTTCGTACACATGAGTATATATATATATATATACAATATATATATTTATATATACACGCACACACACACACACACACACACACACACACAC